TCACAATAAACAAAATGATGAAACACAAGGAAGCAAGTCATCCTGAGGTGAAAGTCAACGGAAACAACAAAGATTTAGATACCCCCAAACTTCACATGTTTGAATGTCTGAAGTAGATGAAAGATGAAATAGGAAGAAGATCTCAAAGGAACAAGAATCTATTTAGAAAAAAAACTATACAGATTTGAAAAACAACCAAACAGCCCTGTTACAAATGAAGATATAAATGTTGAAACTTTAAACTCTGTGAATTAAACAGCTGAAGAGAGAATCGGTGAATTGGAGCATGGATCTGGAGAAATTTCCCAGGATGCAGCACAGAAAGGTAAGAAGACAGAAAATACAAAAGAGAGGTTAGGAGGCCAGGAGGATAGAGTGAGAGCATCTAATCAGAATTCCAGGATGAGGAGGTGCTAATTGGAGGAGGGAGGGAGGTACGCAGAGTTTCCAGGCAAAGGGAACAGCACGTGACGAGGCCCTGAGGAACCTGCCCAAAGCCACTGTGCTGCAGCCCTTGCTCTGTTCAGGGCAACGCTGGGGCACAGATGCCTTGGACACTATCCTGGCCTGAGCAGCAGGCAGTCTGGTGGGGAGCCGGCCACAAGGCGGACAGCTGTGTTGCTGCCTGGCCAGCCCCATTTCCCCTTCAACTGCTAACTGCACCCCTTCTCCTCCCCCACTCTCAGGCCACGTGGTCCAGGTAGAGCTAACCCTAGTCCTTCATGCTTCAGGGATGGCTGTATGACCCCAGCCAGGTCAACCACAACCAGTGAGGCCCAGTTCTGAATCTTTTATTGGGCAGAGGAAATCCCTGGTTCTGCCAGGGTTGCTGACGGGAGAATGTTGGCCTGAAACCACCATGACATGGAGCCAACACAAATAGACTCAGAGCCCTTTGAGCCCTGGATCCAGCTGTGCCTGAAGGACACCCTGAACTTGACAGTTACATGCATTAATACATTTCCTTTTCTGCTTGAGCTGGTCTGAGTTGGTTTTTCTGTCACATGTAACTCCTCACTCCATCCGTGCCACAGAGGGAAGTCCTAAGGCTAGAGACCCCAGGGAGACCCCTGACCCAACCTGGGGGTCAGGAATGCTTCCAAGAGGAGGTGACAGCTAGGCTAGACTTTGATGGCTTTATCATTAGCCAGGGGGATGGGGTGTGCCTTGACAGCTGTGTCATAGTTAGCTAGGGGAGGCGAGTGTATCTTGACAGCTGCGTCACAGTTAGCTGGGGAGAGGGGTGTGCCTGGGCAGGCTGGCGCAGGCGTTGGCTGTCTTCCCGGGAGTTGGTGCTGCTCACTGGCTCCTGGGTGCAGCCTCTGTCCGGGCAGGCCCCAGGCTTCCAGGCTGGCTCTCAACAGCACCTTATGATGGCCTTGGGCCTTGGCAAGGGCTGGAGGCCTGAAGGGGGTGACACTTCAGAAGCATTACACGGGGGGGGGCAGGCCAGGCTCCCAGGGGTCTTGCCTCATGGGTCATGTTGGTGTCAGGACCCCCAGCCTCAGGATTCAGCCAAGGTGCGTGAGAGGAGCAGTGTTAGGAGGCCGTCAGCCCACACCTGTCCCTCCCCAGCTCCAGCCTGGCCAGTGCTGTGGATGCCCCTCGGGGGCGATGCCAGGCAGGGGCAAGGTGCAGGCTCCCAAACCAAGCAGGTTTAGGGTCTGCTCTCAGCTCTGCAACAAAGTCATTTCAGATCCTTGGTCCTAGCAGACTTAGCACTCAGCAGTGTTCAAACTCTTGCAGATAAATCAGCCAATCAGTGGGCTGCTCGTGCCTTGTGCCTGTCACCGCTAGCCCATGCCTCCATGCCCAGCTTAAATGCCCTCTCCTTCAAGAAGCCTCCCCTGACCACTCCAGGAAGAGGTGCTCCATCCTGCCTCTCATCCTGCCTCAACCCTCACAGGTTGCCAGTCCCAGGTCATCGTGGAATGCAATTACTTGTACAGATGTTGTATTTCCCTTTCGTTCATCTCTGCCAACCCAGAGCCCAGGCAGGACCTGGCAAGAACGCCTGATGAGTAAATGTTTGCTAAATGAATAATGAATGGTTGGATGAATTTCAAGGTTCCACTTACACTGCAGTTACCATGTGTCAGGCACTGCGTTTTTTTTTTTTTTTGGTGAGGAAGATTGGTCCTGAGCTAACATCTGTTGCCAATCTTCCTTTTTTTTTTTTTGTGAGGAAGATCAGTCCTGAGCTAATCCAATGCCAATCCTCCTCCTTTTTCTGAGGAAGACTGGCTCCGAGCCAACATCCGTGTCCATCTTCCTCCACCCTATATGGGACACCACCACAGCACGGCTCGACAAGCAGTGCGTCGGTGTGCGCCCGGGATCCAAACCGGCGAACCCCGGGCCGCCACAGCGGAGCGTGCGCACCCAACCGCTTGTGCCACCAGCCCGGCCCCCCGATCTTCCTTTTTCTTGCTGAGGAAGATTGTCGCTGAGCTAACATCTTTGCCCATCGTCCTCTGCTTTGTATATGGGACGCCACCACAGCATGGCTTGACAAGAGGTGTGTAGGCCTGCGCCTGGGATCTGAACCCCTGAAGCGGAGGCACAGGAACTGAACCACTACGCCCCCAGGCCAGCCTCCAGGCACTGCTTTAAATGCTTTATAAATACTAAGTCACAGATTCCTCATCACGACCCTTGGTGGTATGTTCTGTATGATTCCTCCTTAACAGACAAGGAAACTCAGGCACAGACAGGCTCAGTAACTTGTCCAGAGTCACACAGCCTGTATGTAGCAGAGCCAGGACTCAAGCCAGCATCCCTCTCCGGAGTCTGTGCTCTTAGCCCCAGGCCAACATACGTCATCCCTGTGCGGTGTGCAGTGAGGGCACCGAGGCCCAGGGCGCTGAAGGGACTCCCCGAGGCCTCACAGCCACTGGCCAAACCCTCCTGCCTCCTTGTGTGGCTCTACATCCCTAAAACAGGGGCCCCAGTGCCTGGGTCAGGAAGGTGGCTCATCTGCTCACCAGGCTTCTTTGAGGCTGCAGGCAAACCCTCTCCCACAGAGGCAGAGCTGGTGGGCCCCTCCTCCCACTCCAGATGACAGTTTTGCCCATGGGCATCCCGTGGGCAAAGGGGCGGCTGAGTCTGTGGTTTGTGGGTATGTTTCCGGGGGCGTGGGTTGATGGGTTCAGGCTTTGTGTGCAGGGAGAAGAGCTGGAGAGAGGCTGGTTGTGCGCGGTCCCCGGGCCTCCAGAGCAGGGGAGCGGGTGGAAGGGACGCGGGCTGTGCCCTGGCACTGGTACTGCTCAGAGAGACCTCGCCCGAGGAGGGGTGTGTGGGGTGGGGGGGTGTGGGGTGGGGAGTGTGTGGGGTGGGGGGTGTGTTGAGTGGGGTGGCAGCTGCTGGTTCCCCCACTGAGGGCAGGGCTGGCCATAGGGCAGGGCTGGCCATAGGGCAGGGCTGGCCATAGGGCGGGGCTCCAGGAGGGCGCCGGGTCCTGTTCAGGGATTCGGACCCGGCTCTGCACCCACTGCTGTGTCCCTCCTTGAGTGAGGCCCACGTCTGGGGTGTCCAGGGCGGCCAGCAACTCCCTGACTGCCAGGCCCGCCCCAGGGGCCTGTGGGGGAACTCGCTCTGGCCTCGCTGATGGCGGTGCCGTAGACAGCCATGTCTGGTACCACGTGACCTTGCCTGCGGCCACATGACCCAAAGGCGGCACTCCATAGGCCAGCCCGGACCAATAGCTGATGGCAGGAAGTGAGGAGCTGACCAATTGGATCCACTCCCTGGGGACCCCAGCTGGAGGTCCCAGGCAGTGCCTGGGGAGTCTCCTGGAGGGTTGAGGGTGCGGAGGGAGGCCCTGGGGCCTTGGGCTCATGGGGAGCTTGGAGGTCCTAGAGGACCTGGGAGGGCCTAGGGTACTCTGAGGGGGCTTGGGGGATCATGGAGGTCCTTGAGGCATTTTGGGGGAATCTTTGGGGTCTTGGGGAGCCTGAGGAGTTTGGGGGGAACTTGAGGGTCTCTGGAGGCCTGGGGAACCTTGGGAGTCTGAGGGGTCTTGGGGAGCCTGGAGGTCTTGGGGGACCTGGGAGGGCCTAGGGTACTCTGGGGGACCTTGGGTGCCTAAGAGACATTAGAGAGTCTGGGGGGCCTTGGGGGGTCAGGGGAGACCTTGAAGCATCTTGGGGGCATCTTTAGGGCCTTGGGGGCCTGAAGAGTTTGGGGGGACCTTGGGAGTCTCTGGAGGCCTGAGGGACCTTGGGGAACCTGGGGTGCCTCGGGGGATCTTGAGAGATCTTTGGGACCTTAGGGGGCTTGGGGGATTTCATGGGACCTTGAGGGGCCTGGGAGGCATTGAGGGGCCATGGAGGGTCTTGAGGGGTCTTTGGGGCCTTGGGAGAGTGGAGCAGCCCCCCAAGGGCCTGGTCATGCTGACAGCTGTGGCCTGGGCGCGTCTCTTCACTTGGGAGCCCTGGCTGCCCCTCTGTGTGATGGGAGGATCACAGGCCAGCCCGAGTCCCGTGAGGGTAAAATGACCAAAGAGGACGGCCCGTTCCTTTCAGCGCCCTTGTCTCTGCTCTCACCCAGGACCCCTGAGAGACCAGGCCCACGCTATTCCCCCCACAGACTCACTTCCAAAAGCTCACCAAGGCTGTGGATTGTCCAGAAGGTTTTGTGGGGAGGTGGGGACACAGCCCACCACAGGAGGTGTCCCCTTGTCCCCAAAGTTCCTCTCACACTGACACCAGGTGAGGTGAGGGAGGCCCTGAATTAGCTTAGACTCTCTCTCCAAGGCCATGGAGGTCTCCCAGCTGGGGAGTGACGTGACCAGGATGGGATCAGTCCTTCAGGAGGATGGCACTGGCTGCTGGGGAGGCTGACGTGGCCTGACTAGTGTCTTAGTGACGGCTGGATGGGGGGGTGGGGGATCAGGCAGAGTTGAGCAGGAGGTCCAGGTTCCTGGCCATGGACCCCTATGAAAGCCTCAGGGCCGGCCCCCTTCCTGGTCCTGTGAGCCGTGCAGTCGCCTGCACCCCCACCCTCTTCCGGTCCGGCAGCAGGCCTGTGGACTCCACCTGCAGGCCTGCACAGGGGGTCTGTCCAGTTCTCTCCATCCCCACAGCTATGACCTCTGTCCAGGTCACCGTCATCTCCCCCCTGAACAATGCCAGAGCTTTCCAGCTGGTCCCCTTGCCCTCCTCCTGGCCCCTCCAATCCATTCTTCACCGGCAGCCAGAGTGACCTTTTTAAAATGCAACCCACCCTCCTCAACCTGCACCTGACTCTGTGACATCTCTATCGATATCTAGCGGGCACCCTTGGCTGCCTCCCACAACCACCTCGCCCTTCCTCCTTCCTCGCAGAGCCTCAGATCTATGGGGGCGTCCAGCTCTGCAGAGCTACTCAGCACTGGGCTGCAGCGCATGGAGGAGCTCGTGCCAGAATGCGCATCGACTCACTGCTTCCTTCTTTTAAAACGCCCTGGGACTTTTCCCACTCAGCTGGGAAAGTGTCAGCTGAGCCAAGCAGTGTGCATGGGGCCAGGTGCTCCGCAGCCTGACCAAGCTGATTATTTGAGGTGGTCCAGCAATGACCACGTTTTGCCCCACAGGCCACTTGCCTGCCTCATGCATCCTCTGGGCTGTGATTTGTTCGGGTGGGTGTGTGACCCGCTTCTGGCCAATAGGGAAGTCTGCTGGGGGCTTCTGAGAAGGTTTCCTCAGCAGACAAGGCCTCTTCTCTCCCCCAGACACTGTCCCTTCAGTCTGTGAAAATCTCCCAGCCCAGGCACATGCTCGGGGATGATGAGGGCCCTCGAGCATGATGCTGACTGCACCAGGCGCTGTTCTAGGGGCTTTACAGAAGCCAGCGCACTCACTGCCCCATGAAGCAGGCACAATTGCTATCCTTATTTTACAGATGAGGAAACTGAGGCACAGAGAGAGAGGTGGGTCTTCTGCCCTGGTAGCTGCTAGAGCCAGAATCAGACCCCAGTCTGCCTCCAAAGCCCCTGCAGGGGCCCTGCTCCCATCACAGGCACACAGGCCCACCTCAGCCACTTCTCTCCAGCTGCTCTGTTGCTTTTCTACTGCTTGAATCTCTTTCCACCTCAGGGCCTTTGCACAGGCTCTCCCTTTTGCCTAAAACACTCTTCTCACACGACTATCTCATTATGGGGCCTTGGTTCAAATGTCCCCTCCCCCAGGGACGTGTATGGCCGGGGCAGGGGGTGAGGGTGGCTGTGCTGGAGGCCTTTTTGTGCCTTTTGAATATTGAACCGTGTGAATATACTACCTACTCTCTCGGTCTGCTCAGACTGCTATAACAAAATACCACAGACTGGGCGGCTAAACAACAGACATTTGTTTCTCACCATTCTGGAGGCTGGAAGTCCCAGATCAAGGTGCTTCTGGTTCAGTTCCTGGAGAGGGCTCTCTCCTGGGGTTGCAGACGGCCGCCTTCTCACTGTGTCTTTTCCTTGGTGCATACACGTGGGGACAGAGATTTCTCTCTTTCTCTCTCTTCTTATAAGGGCACTAATCCCATCATGACAACCCCACCCTCATGACCTCATTTAACCCTAATCACCTCCTAAAGGCCCCACCTCCTAACACCATCACATTGGGGGTGAAGGCTTCAACATGTGGGGCACATGAACTCAGTCCATAACACCTACTCAAAAAATAATTTAAAAATTTTTAATTTAAAAAGACATACCACTTCACACCCATTAGGATTGCTATTACTTTAAAAAAAAAAAGGGAAAATAACATTCCACTGGTGAGGATGTGGAGAAACTGGAACCCCACGCTCTGTCAGTGGGAATGTAAAATGGTGCAGCTGCTATGGAAAACAGTTTGGTGGCTCCTCAAAAGGTTAAATACAGAATTACCATGTGACCTAGCAATTCCACTCCTAGGTGTATACCCTAAAGAATTGAAAGCAGGGACTGTAACAGACACTTGCTTACCCACGTTCACAGCAGCGTTATTCACAATCGTCAAATGGTGGAAGCAACCCTTGTCCATCAATGGAGGAATGGATAAGCAAAATGTTGTCTATGCATACAATGGAATATTATTCAGCCTTAAAAAGGAAGGAAATTCTGACACACGCTGCAACATGGGTGAACCTTGAGGACGTTAGGCTAGGTGAAATAAGCCAGACACAAAAAGACAAATGCTGTATGATCCCGCTATGAAGTCCCTAGAGGAGTCAAATCCATAGACACAGAAAGTAAAATGGTGGGTTCCAGGGCCTGGGAGAGGGGGAATAGGAGTTATTGTTTAACAGGGACAGAGTTTCAGTTTGGGAAGATGAAAATGTTCCAGAGATGGGTGGTGGTGATGGTTGCACAATCGTGTGAAAGTACTTAATGCTGCTGAATTGTACACCTAAAAATGGTTAAGATGGTAAATTTTGTGTTATGTATATTTTACCACAATAAAAATTATGTAAATAGATTGGGAAACCTAAGTAAATATTGGCTATATAAAGTAATAAAATTAACTTCTCATGGTGTTTTATATAAAGAAAAATTTAAATAGACAAATGTCCCTGCCCCAACTTCCTCCAGAGAAGACAGGATGGACAGGGGGACATCACAGTGAGATGCCTGACAAACACCTCACCCAGGTGACCCAGGTCCACACCACAGGAATCAGTCATGCTGACAGCACGGGCCCTGATGGGATGGGATGAGAAGGCTCCTCCCCTCTGTGGTCTCCCTCCCCAAACCCATAACCCCGGTCTAATCATGAGAAAACAGCAGACACATCCCAGCTGAGGGGCGTCCTACAAAACACCCGCCTAGTCCTCCCCTAAACCGTCAAGGTCGTCAAAAACAAGGGGAGTCTGAGAAACTGTCCCAGCTCAGAGGAGCTGAAGAGACATGACGACTAGACATCATGTGGGATCCTGGATGGGGTCCTGGACAGAGGAAGGACATTAGGTGCAAACTAAGGAAACCTGGATCAAGTGTGGGCTATAGTTACTATATTGATGTTGGTTCATTAGCTGTAACAAATGCCCTATCCCAATGGGGTATCCTAACCCCAATGTTAACTGGGGAAAACTGGGTGTGGGGTATAAGGGAACTCTCAGAACTATCTTCATAATTTTTCTGTGAGTCTAACACTTGCCTAAAATAAAAAGTTTATGTAAAACAAGTCACTGTCGGGACAGGCCTTCCTGCCCAGCAGGGGAAGGTCTTGCCTCATTCTGGGCCCCTGCACTGGCTCATTCCATGCCAGCACTCAGGTAACCTGGGGCCGTGTGATCCGTCACCCCTGCTGGAATGAGCCTCGCAGGGCTGGCATGAGAGGGTCCCAGGGCCCAGCACAGCTCCCACACCCCACAGGCCCTATTCCAGGACACCCATGCCCAGTGCAGGAAGCCAGAGGAGGTGAGGTGCCTACCCTTGGGGCCGTGGTTGTGTGTGAACAGGATGGGGTCAGCCGCCTCTGGGAGAAGCAGGGAACGCTTCGGTGGGGGGGACCACCGACCTGACCCCTACACACCACCATCTTTGGGGGACTTGTGGCCCCTAGCCTGAGTGAGCCTTCCCCAGAGGAGGCTGCACCCCCTGGCCCCCCGGGGGACCCTCCACCCGGTCTCTCCTCTGCAGGCAGAGTGGGGAGCAAGGAGCCCAGTAGCCAGTGAGGATGGAGTGATCTTCCCACCTGACCTTCGAGGGCACCACAGGAGTGGGTGATGGGGTGCTACTGAGCTGACAGAGGGGGGTGGCCAGACAGGGCCAAAGAGAGAGGCTGCTGGCACCTTGCTGGCCTTCCACGTGGGAGCCCCCGTGTCCTTCTAGTTAAGCTTTTATGATTAGCGCCATATGGTTAACCTAATATGGAAAGCGCCAAACATACACACAAGTAGAGAGGATAGTAGAGCGAACTGCAGCATACATCCCACCTCAACAGAGGCCGGTCTTGTTTCCGTTGACAAAATGCTGCTGCTGATTTCTGGATTATTATGGAGCAAATCCCAGACTTCACATCCTTCCACCTTAAATATTTCAGTGTGTTGCTCTAAAAGACCAGGGCTCCTCTTTTAAAACACAATCCACAATGTGATACTTGCACCCAAAACTCGGCAGTAACCACCTCCTGTCAACAATACCCATCAGTGTTCCCACTACCCAACCTCCTACAGGGTCTCTTAGGTCTCTTTCAGTCTGTTTCCCTTCCGGCTCCCTGTGTTTCTAGCCTTTGTTTGTTTGTTTTTAAGAAGTTGGGCCACGTATCCCGGCCAGTTTCTCGAAGTCTGCTAACCGCGGGCTCGTGGTGCTATTTAACGTGGTCCTCTGTTGCCCAGTGTTCTGTGAACTGGTAGCTTGTCTAAAGCAGTGCTGTCCAGCAGAACTTCCGCAATGATTGGATGCTCTTGATCCACGCTGGCCAATACCATGGGCACTGGCCACACGTGGCTATCAAGTGTTTGGAATGCGGCTCATTCAACGGAGGAACTGAATTCTTCATTTTATTTAATTTCAGTTTAAATGTAAGGTGCTATGTGGGGGTGATGGCCACCATATTGGGCAGATCTAGAGGCTTGATGAGATTCAGGTTCAATATTTTTTGGAAAGACAACTTCATGGGTGGTGATGGGTTTTCCATTAGGAGTTACTATGATGTCAGGTTGACTCTCTTTTTGTGGATTAGGATCCACTGATGGTCGTGGCTCCGGATCCCTTAATCCACTAGGAGGTGAGAAATGGTGATAGTCAATTTCTATCATTGTTCTTCATTCATTGGCTGAAATTCCGTGAAAAGAAATTCCCCTCATCAACTATCTGGTTACTCTAGTTACAGATCATACAGGGAAGGAAGGATAATTCCTTCCTTGATTTCTTCCCTTCATTTACACGTTTCAGAATAGTGAGTTGCTTCCCTGGTAAACTGTAAGTGTGCACTTCTTTTTGGCATCCTTATGAACCCATGGACTTAAGCACATTTGATGTGTTTCAATCCACTGCAGTTATAATCCTATTGGTGTTCCAAGTGTCCTGTTCCAGGTCGGCAGGAGACTGTTTTGCAGCATCTGGGTCATTTTGACACAACCCCAGTAATCTTTGGTAGCTTCTTGCTTTTTTGGTGTGACAAGATGTTCCAGGCCCATCTGGTACATTCCCTGTCACAGA